GAGGGACCTCAGAATCAGGACAGGGAAGGTGGTTCTGCAACACTTCCCGGTATTTGGCCATCCAGGACACGATAGCCATCTCTTCCTCTTCCAGCAGGCTGTTGCACACTGGGGAGGAGGAAGGCGGAGGGGTACTGACCAGTTTCTTCCTGTAGCGGGAATAGAAGTTGCAAGCACCTCTTCCCTCCCTGCCAATCATCTCCTCCCCAACCCCAAACCAGGAAGCGCAGCAGTGAGCACGGGGCTCATTCAACAGGCTCCTGTCTCCTGGGGCTACTTCTCACATCAGCAGCATGTGCTCCCTGCACATGACGGGAACATGAGGGTCGCACACTGAGCCAGGCTCCCCAGCTCTCAAGACCCGGTTCTGCTGGGCCAACCGCAGTGCCTGGTTCTTGCCCCCACCACCCTGGGGGGTCCTGGGCCCAGCCCCACCTGTTCTTGGTCTTTCCAGTTCTTTCTGGCCATAACTATACCCGTTCACTTTTCATGCAGTATCCAGAGACACTGAATGTCACAGGTGTGCATGTGCACACACCCCCCGCGGTGCACACCCTCCCCAGTGACCCCCTCACAGTTGGAAACGCAGACTCCAGTCGCTCTCAGGATGAAACACCCTCTTCGACACGCTGCCACAGACGCCACCTCGCCCTGCCACCTCGTACCCATCACACAGTCTCCTCCCCCATCGGCTCCTCCCTCAGCTCCTGGCAGCCGCGGGCCTATTTTCTGACTGTGAGGATTTAACTGTCTGCACCTCTCATATAAGTGGAGCCCTGCCCTACGTGACCTTCTGGTCTCTGGGTTCCCTTTATGACCCTGAGGTATTATTTGTTTGCAGCAAACAGACTCCGTGGGCAGCTGGGGCTGGTAGAGCAGAGCAGGGGACAATCTAGGACATGGGGACTCCTCAGAGCAGCTTCACCAGCACGCACAGCTCAGGGCTCCGAGGGAACCACAGAGGGCAAAGGCAGCCCTGCGACAGGCGGCTGGACAGGAGCGCAGCTGTGCGGGGGCCTCCAGCAAGCGGCCTCCCCTGCCCGGCCCGCTGCCCTCCCGCTGCTCAGGGACTGCATGGCCCTGGACACTGACTGACACCCAGGGAGCTGGGGTGGCCGCTGCTGCAGGGATGCGTTTCCAAATCCTCACGCCACCTGCTTCCTCCTTGGCACAGAGGCCGTAAACAGGACACCTGAGCCCAGTGCAGGGCACCTAGGGGCCAGAGGTGCTTGAAGGGTCAGGGCCGTGTGGCTCCCAGGCGTCCGGGCTTCTGTCTGCCTCACCGCTCCTTCCAGAACCCAGGGCCAGAGCTCACTGGGGTGCTGAACAGGGTGGCAGTACCCCCGCGGGCCTGGGGACAGATAGTGTTTTCTGACTCTATGGCATAAGGTGCGCCAGATACCACACAGGACATGTGTACACTCAAAATCTAGTTGTCATTTATCTGAAACTCAGATGTGACAGTGTGTCCTGTGTCCATCGGGCCACACAGGTGTGAGCAAGCTGAGAGATGCTCACGACCGTGGTCACAGAATCCAGGGACCTGGGAGGTGGCAGGGGGCCAGGGAAAGCTCGGGAGGAGTGAAGAGGGACCTTCTGTCCCAGGAGGAAAGGTGGGGAGGTGCCGAGAAGCAGTCAAGGCCTGGGAGACCAGGGCCCCTGGCTGGCCAGAGTGCTCGGCCCGGGTTCTGGAAGGAGCGGTGGGGCAGAGAGCAGCCCAGCCTGGGAGCCACACGGCCTGGCCCTTCAAGAACTGCTCAATGCTCAGCTGTTAGGTCCATGAACAGGAAGGGGGCAGCGCAGGGTCATGATGACCAGGAGCAACCGGAGGTTTCGCTGAGGGGGATACTGCAGACCCCAGGACCAGCGCACCCACGAGGTACACACCTGCCTTCCTCCAGGCACACATGTGCCAACTGCACACACCTGCGAACTGCACACACCTGTGAACTGCATACACCTGCCAACTGCACACACCTGCCAACTGCACACATTGCCAACTGCCTAGCTTTACGTCACTCTGGCGGTCCTTGCGGTGTGGGCCTAGGCCAGCGTCACCTAGAACCTTTCAGAAATGCAGCTTTCTGGGCCCGTCCTGGACCCATCCTCCAGGGGCTGCAGGTTGGGCTGGCAGCCTGCTCTGGGCGTTCGGAGCATCCCACAGTTGCTGCGTGGCTCTTGTGAAGGTGCAGCTGCCATGGCCCACGCCAGGCCCACGAGGAGCGGGCAGCGGCCGCAGGGTGTGGAAATCCCCCAGGGCCCTCCGTGTGTCCTGAGTGCAGGGCTGAAGTCACACCCAGAGCACCCACTGGGTCCCTTGAGGGCCTCCGTCTTGGAGAGGAGACAGGGCTGGGCAGCCGGCCAGGGACAGAGAGAAGGGCCCGTGGCCCCAGGAACACCCTGGGGACCAAGCCGGGCGGGGCCCCTCTGCTTCCTAGAGGCCAGGGGTGGGTGACGTCTCCAGGCAGCTGGTGCCCACAGTCCTTCTAGAAGCTGGGCAGATAAGGAAGGAGAAGGCCTGGGGCAGAACAGCAGCCAACTGAAGGCCGTGGCCATAAAACGCCACCCCACCCAGGCCTGCTGACACTGGGAGGTGACCTCTGGTGCCAGAACCCCTGAGCACCTGTGTCCCCCTCCCTGGAGGAAGGGGCGGTCTCTGCCCACCTGCAGATGAGGAAATGTGAAGGGGGCGCATCAGGGGCTCCGCCACTGCTCCAGGAAACAGGGGGAGCCTCTGGTGGGCTGGGTGTGTGGAAATGGGAGAAGTGGAGGGGAGACAGGAGACAGGCAGGGAGACAGACAGCTGAGCTGGACCCGGAGCCCCTCCCACCCCAAAGCCCAGGCACAGCAACCCGGACCCCAGGAACGTGTCTCCTGGCGTGAGAAAAGGCTCCTGATGAAATCGAGGACCGTGGGAAGGGAGAGGGTCCTGGCTTGGGGCAGTGTCACCACGAGGTCCTTGGGAGAGGAGGGTCGGGGAGAAGCTGCAGAAGGCAGGAGCCAGGCCGCCCGGGTGCTCCAGGAGGACCCGCCCCACCCACACCTCCACATTAGCCCTGGGACCCACGCCGAACCTCCTCCTCCAGAACGGCACTTGGGTCCTGTTTTAAGCCACCAAAGTTGTGGCACTGCTACAGCAGCAACGGGAAACCACCCTGTCTGCCCCGGAAGGAACCGGCTCTCTGAGCCCCCGACTCGTGCCTCCCCCGCCCACCACGCTGCCTCCTGCCTGCTGTCCTCAGAGGTGACTGACCCTGGGACTTCTGTCAGCAGGGTCTGCTCTGCTGCCTTGGAAGTCCATGCAGGCGTCAGACTCGTGCTCTGGAACTGGCTTCTCTTGCTGAACCTTGTCCTGGCGAGACCCCCCGGGTGCAGCCATTAAAGGCTCACTCCTTCTCTGCTGCCATCAGCGTCCCACGCCTTCGGCTGCACGGGACACCGCAGTTTATCAAGTGATTTGTGTGGTTGGCACATAGGCCGCGTCCAGCTTGGGCTGTGATCGCCCACACAGCCATGACCGGTCCCAGGAGAACGTTCTGGTGGATGCGACCCCTGGGACATTCCCGGCTCGGCGCTGCTGGGCCACAGGGCAGGCAGGGTCCAGTTTCAGTGGATACTGCCAGGTCCGTTTCCCGAGTGTGGAACCATGACCGGAGGGGGAGGGGGAGAGGCAGCCCCAGGACACGGCGAGTACACTGGCCCACGCAGAGCAGCAGGCCAAGGCCTGTGCAGGCCGACCTTGGGCGGGATCCACAGGACGCTGCGACTTGGGCTGTCTCTGGGCTCGGGGCTGGGTGGTGGAGGGCAGAGACTGGAGGACACTGTTCCGGTGCCGCCTTCTTCTTCTTCTTCTTTTTTTTCTTATGTATTTTTAGATGTAATTTTACTTCATTCATTTATCTCTATGTGGTGCTGAGAATCAAACCCAGGGCCCCCCACATGCTAGGCATTTGCTCCACCACTGAGCCCCAGCGCCGTGTTTTGCACCTTCTTGAACCCAAGCCACAAGCGTGAACTGCAATTCCAAGGGGGAATCTGTGACGCCTGGGGGCAGCACCAAGGGAGGAGGGGCAGAGGCCCCCATCCAGGAGAGGCTGAGCTGCTGGGAGGGGGGCAGAGCAGGAAAGGGCTCCGGGAGGGACAGAGTGTGTGAGGGCCATGGCCGGAGGGCAGAGGGCGGCACCCAGTAGGGATCCTCCCCTGCTGAGCTGCGGCCCTGG